GGGGGGGGGGTATGTTGAAGAGGGCACATACATGTACAACAAATGAGAACCACAGAGACAAACGAGCGGAGTTACAAACACGAATAATTGTTTCTCTTAAATATGAAGTGAGGAAAACACGCATGGTGAACGAAAAAAAAGTACATGTAAAGGGGATTTTCATCATGTGGACTTTGACATCCAGTCATTCAAAGAACGATACTCGACATCCAGTCATTCAAAGAACGATACTCGACATCCAGTGATTCAAAGAACGATACTCTGTCTAACTTAGGGCAAGAAAAAGAGAACAGAGCACAACGAATAATAATTGAGAGAGAGTTCACGAGATCCACACAACAAGCAGCTGCCTAGGGCAGCCTAGGTAGCCCAATAGACTGGCAGCAACCACTTTTTGAACGCACACACAAGGGGATAAATGACTTATAAAATAGAATGTATCAAGGGGATAGAGGTCTTAATAAAATAAGATGCATCAAGTGGATAGAGGACTTAATAAAATAGGACGTATCAAGTGGATAGAGGTCTTAATAAAAATAGGAGGTATCAAGTGGATAGAGGTCTTAATAAAATAGGATGTATCAAGTGGATAGAGGTCTTAATAAAATAGGAGGTATCAAGTGGATAGAGGTCTTAATAAAATAGGATGTCCTTGATTATCTCTAGTACAGACCCACGCTACAGGAAATAAAGTTCAACCAAAACTATCGCCAGAAGCGCTTCCTTCACGCATTGAAAACGCTCAAAGATCAGAGAAACAAAGACATGTGGACATACAAACTAGATCTGCACTAAAATCTACGCAACGGCATGCCTCGAGTTATCGTAGGAGGTGTACAATTACTTTCAAAAGCAGTGTGCTGCACTTTCTACACACAAAATGATAAAGACAGTGAGTACACACAGAAGAAAAATGTCGTGGTTCATAGGCTTACACTACAGTACAAGCAAAGCGCGCAGATAGCAGTGTATTGGCACATGCAATAGAACTCTACATGACAATGTATAATATATTTGTGTATGTAATATAATACGATATACCGTGATAGATACTAGTGTATTCAAAAACACTTCGCAGTTGAGTTTATGCAGACGGACAGACAGACAGACAGACAGACAGACAGACAGACAGACAGACAGACAGACAGACAGACAGACAGACAGACAGACAGACA